ACGTTATATATACACATATGAAATGAATATTATTTCTTTGATGTATTTATTTCCAATATTAATATTACGTTAATCGCTGTTTATACTATAAAAAAATCAATAAAATGAAAAATATGGTATTTTGTATATTTTTTAATACCAGAATTACAAAATGGATCAATATGAATGGTTTCGTGTTTTAAGTTATTGAAAATGTATAACTATCTTTGATAAAATTAATATCAATTTTTATTGAAATAGGGACGTAATTATATATAGATATTTATTTTAATTATATCACTAATTATTATTGATTATATTATTGATAGTATAATCAGACAAGTATACATACATTATACATATGTAGATCGGTATTTCTAAATTTTATTTCTAGCAAGTAAATATTATTACGAATTTCAATCTGTGTAGTAATATTCTTATGGTATACCAATGAACTTTTCTTTAATTTTCTTCATGATCTACTTACAAAGACCTATTTATTCGATACAGTATTTTTCCTTTGGCCTGCATCTTCCCTATCTTATAACATACTGTAGAGGTTAGTTCTCGGCCCTAATTTGTTTACGTTCTAAGTATATAAATAATATCATATTAACCTTGAAAGTTGTCTTTTACATTGATGCTACGAAAACCCGCAGAATAGATAAAACTTGGAATAATCCATAACGTTAACATCGAAACGTTAAATTGTCTATATCTTAAATATAAAGATACGTATTTTTCTTATTTTTATAAAATAATAAATAGTACATCATTATTACTTTGAATGATTATTCATAAAATAATGTTAAGTATTAGTTTATTATTTTCATGAAATATATATCAAAACTTTCGGTATACTTATTAATACCAAGATAATAAACAATAAAAGAGAACATAAACATCTTCACTCTAAACTGCACAAAAATTCTCATCATTCAATACAATACTCACGGTTACATTTAGTAAATTTTGTAACTATTAAAAAATTAATTACACCAAAGTTATTGCAAAATAAATGCCAGGCACGAGATGCAATATTCTACATATATTAACCAAGCGTTACAAATGATACTTATTTCAGAGAGATTGAAATGGTAAGGGAAATCTTTTGTCACATTCGCAAATTAATCAATCCAAAGCTACGACGAATAAATGACGAACACGAGATACAATATTCCGCATATATTAAACGAACTTTACGAACGGTATCTAACAGGAAAGAGAGTAAAATGGCAAAAGAAATCTCCAGAGACGGTAAACGATAAAACCGCAAATATTTATTACTGATATAAGGCTAACTGAACCTCACTATCTCAGCATAAAAATTCAACCAGCCATCTCTGAAACATCGAAACAAACTGCAAGTCCAATGCTGGAGTTGTAATCAAGTCTAGATGGTTCGTACTGATTGACAATTTTCCATAGCCTCTTCACCCTCCAATACCCTTTTCTACCATCGCCACCCCTCACACTATCCATCACTTCAATACCCCTCTTTTGAAATCACGTTTCGTTTCTGTTGCACATAAAGCCGCGTTCATACTGATTATTACGGATCTGCGAAAATTATTATTCGGATTAATCAGGATTGCACAGCTTCGTTAGCTGTGATGAAGCTCATGCAGCTGTGACGGGAATTATTTTCGGTAAAATAGAATATTTGGAATATAGTAATAGCCTATCCGATGAACGAGAGGTACTAAACAAAATTGATGAAACACGAATGTTCATGATTTCTTCCAGTTCTAAATAGATATGTTCCTCTTCCTATCATAAGTAAATAATCGGAATTTGATAATCTTCGATCTGACATGGAGATGTTATCGAAATGTGTTTACTTTCTAATCATTTTTGTCCTCAAAAATTATCGAAATTATTATCTTTTAAGATTGCTCTGAAGAATTTGTTAATTTGGCATATGTCATTCTCGAGAAGTCCCCATTATTCTCGTGAAATCTGTTCTAAAAGTCGCATTTCTATTTAAAGTAAGACAGAAGTTGCTCTCGATATAACAAGCGCCAGTGAGGAAAAATCAATACGAATTGTTCTAATTAGGAGAATATTTATAAGATATCTAATATTGATTGCGTTTGAGTTCCTTTATAATGAATTTATCGAAAATGAAAATGTAAAGGCAGAACAGCGGGGTCTGGAAGCGGCTTAATGGAGTCAAGTGCCGAACGAGAAAGAACGAATAAAAAAGAAAAAGACGAGCTATGTCATCTGAAAATTGGAATATTCGTTTGCTCGATGGCAACCTCGCTTACTATTCGTTTAGAGATTGGTGTACGATTGAACGTTCCATATTCCAAAGAGAAGATTAAATATGACGAAATTAATTAACGGTGGCGTATATTTTTATACGACATATCGAAAATGAGTAATCTCTTTACCCGAGACGTAAAATAAATTGAATTAAAAAAGTTGTTAATCGGATGCTGGACCTCCTTTTTCGTATAAATCCTTCAAAGCGTTTGACTCTTCCTTGATACGTACCATTTCGAATCACCGTTTGTACGTATGCGATTTCTATATGAATTGTTCTGGAAAAATGCCAAATTAATTTCACTTCTCGTTAATTGTTTTTCCATCCGTTCTGATCGAGATATTTTATATACGTTTTTCGTGTTTCTCATTGACGAGGAGAACCGCGAATCGACGAGTATAAATACGACGTGTTTTTACAGCCCTTCGAAGTTTGCCACCCTAGACACAAGTGAGCTCTTGAGTAACAATGGCGTCGAACAATGGTCGCTCGGATTAAGATGTAAATTAGTTCATAAGTCACAACATTATGCAATTGTCAGCAGCCACGAAATACCCATTGTTATGCCAATAAACTTCAAAGATTTGAGCGTTAAGTCACGGGTCGAAACGGCTTTCGACTTTTATCGACGTTTCTAAACGTTCCCCGTTATAGCAGAAGCTTAATTTCCCACAATAATCATGAGAGTATGCGAAGTTGTTTTTGAATTACCTTCTCCATAAAGCAATCTTATTACTCTCATAAGCTTAATGGCCTAAACGGAAGAATGTCGTTTTATCATACGACACGGTATACTTTGGAGTTATTAAATAGTGCAAACGTCTTTCTAAATAACTCGCAGACATTTCGTTAGATGAAACAGGAATCAGAGGCATCCTTTACTTCCCTCTAATAAGATGTTAATTAAAATATTAAGAATATCGAAATATTCGTTTGTTTCCGTAGGAACGTTATAATGAAAAATTTCATAACGACTAGATAAAAATTGGTACATTATTGTGATATAGAATTATGTTCCGTAACATTTATTAAAGACAGCGATATTAGGTGAAATGAAAAAAAAAATAAAATATTTAAGTAATATATTTTTTCTAAACATGTCAATTTTTAAACAAGATGTTGATAAAATTATTGAAAATATCAAAATATTTATTTGTTTCGATAAGGTCGTTACGATTAAGAGTTTAATAATGATTGGAAAATTTCAGACCTTACCGTGATATGCAATTATATTTCATTACGTTTATTTAAAAAGGAAGTAGTATTAAATAAAATATATCAAAATTCACTTTTTTCGATGTTCCCACAATTTAGTTGGTTTCGCATAAATTAATATTTCAACGAAATATCTAAATACAACGAAGTACCTTTACTCGAGGTATGGAAATGGTACCTATCCTCCTCGTTGTTTTACTTCTAGTCTATTTATTAATTTCAATAAGTTAGCAAAAATTCGGTAACGAGCTTTCCCCATTTCAGTTTCGTGGAACGTATAACTTCTGATTCTTCTAATTCAATTACTCAAAGCTTTCAGCAAATTATTCCGCATTCATTAAAAAGATATTATTTTAACATGCATATACGCGATGTCGCGGCGATTTACCAGTTAATTCTTGAAAATAAACTGGCAAATTCAGCGTTGATTATTTCCCTTTTTTCGAGTCAAGGTAGAAACGAGCCCAGAGCTCAGTGTTATTGCTTCTGTCTCCCTGGACCAGCGACTATATCACCTTGTGCGTTACTACCCGCAAACAGTTAGCATAAAGATGATAACGTCGTGGTGGAGGCAACGATGGATAAACTGTTTCGTAAAAGAGGAAAAAGATATTCGAAAAGCTTCGAAATAAAAATATGGTCGAATGTACTTCTAAAAAATCGAATGAAACAGCGATTCGCGTTTATGCAAACGTATGCGTGAACGCGTGTGTCTGTGTGTGTAGGGGAAATCTGTGAATAGTTGCAGAATTCGATCTATCGATGTCTAGCTCTCGAAAACGCTTTAGAAAATGAGCAGTATACGAAAATCAAGAAAAAAGCGAATAATCGAAGGAAATATTTTCATCCTTTCATAATTATTCCGAAGATATCAGGTTATAAAATAATTTTTGATACCTTAATTTTTTAATCGTGTAATGTGAATACTGGTTCACCTGCTTTTCTTTTTCAAAATGATAATAGTTTACTATTTAATTCTGAAAGTTAATAATAATTTTGCTCGACGCAATTTCAACGAGAAATTAATTAAACATCGTGATATTTTAGTAACTAGCTAAATGTATGTTATTGTAACGCTGATACGTATTGAATCTTTGCTACACTGATGGCAAAGGTCACTGTGCCGATATATTTGATACACAATGAAACAGTAGCGTACTCGTATCCAAAGCATTTCGCGTTTCTTTCATTTTTGCATAAAATTCAACGCTATAGTCGTTATTCAAAATGTCGCATAATTTTATATATTTTAATTACATCTAACGGTATATATTTCGCACATTTGCAATCCACGTTTCAAATGCATTTATTGCGATAAATTTCCTTTATATGCGTGTGATCCATTGTGTACGCTCGAGCTCTATTTTTTATTACCGAATTTGTCAGATTTTATCGCGGTTAACGTTATCTTAACGTCCGTTCCGGATAAAATAACGTTTCGATAAAAATGACGAAAATGAATTTATGGCACGGCACTGCAATACGCGAAATACAACATCGTATAATCATCGGATAGTTTCAGTTTGTACTGGCAACGTCTGCGAGTTCGTTCATTCATCGACTTTGTGACTTCGTTTTTCTGTAGTTCCAGTTTTCTCTTTCGGTCTCGTGCCATGCCGTCCTCGTATAGAGCAATTATAATATGTAGGTTTACGTATCAAACACACGCATTTACGTGAATTTTATGCCATAGAAACCATAACCACGAGTATAACTTAACAAGCACGTGTATCTACATAGCTACTAATAGCACTATTAACAATCACAGTCATTATCGTTTATTCTTTAAATTATTTCTTCGCTTCTAAAATTTCATTCGATGGTTTTATACTAGGCAATAGAAATCAACAATCAAAATCGTTGTAAATCATCCCTCAAATTATTTCGTCACTTGCAAAATTTTATTCGGAGATTTTACAAAAATAAAGTCACGTAAGAACATGTAATTATAGATAATCCAAATTGACAATCAAAGTTATTATCATTCATTCTTCAAATTATTTCCCCAACTTCATCGTTCGATTCAGAATTTCGTTCAAATTTTGCAATCGATATAGTTATTTAAAAATGTATCATTATAAGCAACAGGAGTCGACGATCAGAGTCACTGTGTATTTTTATATCAGAATCGATATGGTCTTTACCATAATTGCGTAAAAATAAGTATGCAATACGATTAACGTGAAAATATGGTATATTCAGTATTTGTAGTGATCGCGGTTCACGCTGCTACACTTTTCGAAAGGAAACCTACCTGTAATTGCATTTATTGCGATGACGAGGTAGAGAACAGTATGAAGGAGGCAAATAAGAACTCGACGTCGGCGTCGCAATTGTACAAAGAGGACAGCGACGGCGATGGCAATCCAATAATTTGCGCTCGAGATCGCGATTTCAATGATCGCACATTCTGGAGCGTTTGTCATATGTTGTGTTACAATCGCTGTCTGTTATTACGACATTCGACTGTCACTGTAAACGGCGAGAAGAAATATGTCGCGATGGCATACAGAAATAGTGAGTAACGATATCGAATATTCGAATACCTGGTCTGATCGAGTCTGTCTGTTGATTTTCAGATTATTACAAACTGCGAGAGGGCAAATGTTGAAGGACTTGCTGCGCTTTATAAATTCCTGGGATCCTGCTGTGACATCGTGATGTCAGCTGGAAGGGAGTAGTACGAGGTTAGTAAATACATTGCAATTTAGTGAGCACTGTTATGTAAACAATGTTGTAATTGAAAGTACGTTATGGTTCGTCTACATGTATATATAAATAAGTTGGACGAGAATATTTTGTAAATGTAAAGTATATATATTGGAATACGTATTGTTTATGTTATGGATGGATAGTTATTAGAAATTCGAAATTGTAACGAGAGTGTCGATATTCATCGGTTATTGCGAAATAAATAGCAGATGAGTGATTGAATAATTGACGAGTACTGATCACATTTGTACAAAATTAAAGTAAATGTTTTACGTAAAATATAGTGTTAATCAAAGATTTAACGATAACAGGTTTTTCTTTTTGTTCAAAAATATCGATCCACGGATTTTATGTATTATGTTTATTAGTGATTATATAAAGTTATATGTAATTGTATCAACACAGATGTTACGTGATTTTAATTTTGTACATTATAAATTAAAAATTGTCTTACAATAACAAATAAATCTTGGTATATTATTCTTTCGTGTTTTATCTGTTTTACGATATTTCGTGACAATATTTATGTGCAGTAGCTATTCCAAAAGAAACAAAACTGAATGAATACCAGTGAAGGGCAATAATATTTGTGAATCTATAAATGTATATATTTTCAGACATATCCTCCATTTTTAAAATGGGAGATTAATGATATTATATAATTGTATTAAAAAATTTCGTAGAAAGTTTTCTATTAAATTACATTTTTAAAAGGAATCATCTGCAACAAATAATGGAGCAAACTCTTTCTAATTTTTATTCTTCGTTTAAATTATTTTATATTATTTGAATATAATATAAAACAATATGCAATTATCTAATATATTAAACACA